AGGACAACCCTTGCTTTTCTCTCCTTGATTTCATCATGTATGGGCCCTCCCTCCCCCTCACCATCTTCGTCTGAGTGTTCCTTCCTTCCCTTAGCACTTTCCCGCCTACAAAAACACCTTTGTGCTGCTCTTTACAAAATGTCTATCCCCTCCACGTGTTCCCCCTCCCCCCCCCTCCCCGTCACTCCCCCCCCCACCCCCCCTCGCTCTCGAAGCTATACCTTGATTATAACATTTCTTTTCCATTCTCAAAAATATAGGTATAGTTGACGCCCGCCCTTAAGCAACTCTGACAAAGTCCTCTCCCTCTTACATTCGGATCGCACTGCCTTCCGTTTGTAAAAACCCTATTCCTCTCTGCTTCCACAATCCCTCTTCTCTCCCCTTCCTACCTCCATCACCTCTCTTTGGATATGCCCCCCCCCCACCCCCCACCCACCCACATATTTCCCCCGTCCCTCACTCTCATCCCCGTGTCCTCATCATACAATCAAAACACCTTTCTGGTCGACATGATGACATCCTTTTGTCCAAAATTTTCCAGCTTCCATACAGCCAACCCTTTTCCAAAATCGCGTATCAAACGGTCGTTTCCAACCTTCCCGTGTAACCGATTACATCCTTTTTCCCAATTTTCCAGTCTCCATACACCCGGCCCTTTTCCAAAATCGCTTATCCGACGGGCGGTTCGAACCTTCCCGCGCCACCGATTATGTCCTCCCAGCTTACCCCGTGGCCCTCTTCTTATACACATCTAGATGTGTATAAGAGACAGGTATATATATATATATATATATATATATATATAGAACCGACAGTCTGTAGAGTTTTCCATCTGGTGTGGGTGAGTGATAGTCTACTTTGATTTTAAGATACTGTTTTTCTTTTTTTTGAATCTGTATTAATTTCACATAATTACAATAATATACATAATTACAATAATATATTATATATAGTCTGTAGAGTTTTCCATCTGTTGTGGGTGAGTGATAGTCTACTTTGATTTTGGTTAAGGTAGATTATCAGTTACATTGTAATCAGTGAGGGGATTCTGCAGACTGTTGAGGGTTCAGCCTCCTGATGAGTCGGTGAAACTCCGATGAAACAGTTTGTCACAGCCCCTCGTTACACATCTAGATGTGTATAAGAGACAGGTGTCCCACCTGTGTCCCACCTCTCTCCCACTTCT